ATTTTAATTATATTTAATTTATTTTAATTATATTTAATTTATTTTAATTATATTTAATTTATTTATATTTAATTTATTTATATTCAACCTAGTTATATTTGTTTTGATTATGTTTGTTTGTTTTTTAAGAAGAAAAGCTTCTTGGTGCTCCTCACCCTTAATTCTTTTTATTTATTTATTTATATATTATCTACTATATCTTTATTATATTTAATGCTGTTTTTGCTCTTTTATTTGTTTATTTTTGTTTGTTTAGGGCCCTAAGGGATCAGCTTGCGGTGTATAAGGAGCAGCAATTAAGCGTTGTGGGCCCCCAGGGTTTAGGGGGCCCCTTGGGGGCCCCGAGCAGAGCGCTGGGGGCTGCTGCTGCTGCGGGGGCCCTCTCTGATGTCCTCGCTGGGGCCTCCTGCAGGGGCCCCCTTAACAAAGATGACTGTGATGAACTCTTGCCTGGTGAAGGGGCCCCCTGGGATGCAGCAGCAGAAGCAGAAGAAGCAGCAGCAGCAACAGCAGCGCCAACTGCAGCAGCAGGAAGAGCAGCAACAGCAGCAGCAGCACAGGGCTCTTTGTTAGGGCTGTGCCAGAGTGCAGCCTCTACAATAGGGGGGCCCCCAGGGGGCCCCCAGAGGGGGGGGCCCCCGGAGGCTCCAGGGGGTTTAATAGGTGCTGCTGCATCTCTGATGTCTTTTCGAGTGTCTATGCAACAAGGCAAAGACGGTGAATCTTCATTGGGGGGCCCCCCGGGGGCCCCCAGTACAGGGGGGGGGCCCCCCGTAGGAAGCAAAGATGTGCTTTGTTTGCGGTGTACAGACACTTCAGCAGCTGTTGCTGCTTTAAAAGAAGAAGTACGTACAGCAGAGCAGAAATGCCTCCTTTCTATTCAATTTCTTGCCGAAAACGCTAACCTTATTGAGGCCCTCCTGGTCTCTGCACAAGAAGCAGCAGACTGCAGCAGCAGCAGCAGCAGCAGCAGCAGCAGCAGCACCATCTGCGACAGCGACAGCGAAGCTCCACAAGAGAATGAACCTGCAGCAAATCTCATTAAAGACATCGATGTCTTCCTCATTACGGAGCAAAGGCAGCAGCAGCAGCAAATGCAGCAGCAGCAGCAAATGCAGCAGCAGCTCTTGCTGCAGCAGGAACACTAACTAAGGCCCCCACTACATCCCGCGCAGCAGCAGCAGCAGCAGCAGATGTCTGAGCGTCAGTTTAACGTCAGGGTACAGAAACCTTTTGTAACGGGGGCCCCCCGAGGTAACCCAGGGGGCCCCCCAAGACCTTAGGGGCCCCCTCAGGGCCCCTTTGGGGGCGCCTTCAGGGGCCCCCCAGGGGACCCCTTAGGACCCCATTAGGTTCCCCCTAGGGGCCCCCTTGAGGCCTCTTTAGGGGCCCCCTTAAGGCGTCTTTAGGGGCCCCCAGTACCCCTTTAGGGGCCCCCGTAGGGTTTAGAAGTCTGTTGTTTTTTTTGTTGGTTTGTTTCTGTACTTCTTTTTAATTAACAACTGGGGGCCCCCCGTACCCTCCTACGCTGCGACAGCAGCATGGGGGGCCCCTTCGGGGCCCCCCTTGGGGCCCTCCATCGCCAGACTGCAGCCTCTACAAGATAAGGGCCCCCTTAGAGGGGGCCTCTTTGGGGGGGCCCCCTTAGGGTAAAAGCCCCCTTTGGGGGGCCCCCTGAGGGCAGGGGCCCCCTTTGGGGGGCCCCCTTGGGGGAAGGGGCCCTTCGGGGGCCCCTTTGGGGGGCCCCCTTGTTGGGGGTTGTGACGTAGAGGGGGCCCCGCTGGAGGTATTCGGAGGTTTATTAGTAGTTTATGACTTTAGGGTTTAGGGTTTGGGGTGTCTGCGCAGCTGAGATTGTGGTGAGGGAAGAGAAGGCCGTAGCGTTTAAACTAAGACAGTTATTATTTAATTATTAAATAATTAAATAATATTATTATTTAATTATTATTTATTATTATTACTATTATTATTTATTGTTACTTATTATTATTTATTATTTCTTATTTATTATTATTAGTTATTATTACTAATTATTATTATTATTATCAATATTACTATTTATTATTTCTTCATATTATCACAGCTATTATTATTATTATATTATCAGTATTAGTATTGTAACTATTACTGGTTATTTTTATTACTATTATTTACTATTATCATTTAATAATAATTATTATTGTTTATTATTATTATTGTTTATTATTATGATTATTACTAATAATATTATTAGTATTATTATTATAGCTTATTAGAGAGAGACAGCAGCAATAAACAGGAGACAGTTAGAGGCAGACAGCAGAAAGACAGAGATTAAAGAGAGCAGCAGCAATTAAAAGAAAATAGTTATTAGAAACAGCTGTGGAGACAGTTGCTTGCTGCTGCTGCTGCTGCTGCTGCTCCTTTTGCTGCAGTCTCTTCTATAAGAAGGGGCCCTCCACCATAAATTTGACGTGTGCTGCTTATCCACAAACCCTAAACCCTACGACCTAAACTCTAAACCCTAACAACTAAACCCTAAGGCCTAAACCCTAAACCCTAAGTCCTAAACCCTCAACGCTTGCAGCCTCATCGAGCCTCTCCTTAGAGCCGTTGGGGCTTAACGTTTAGGAATTAGGGTTTAGAGTTTACGGGTAGGGTTTAGGGTTTAGTGTTTAGGGTTAGGGTTTAGGGTTTAGGGCTTAGGGTTTAGGGTTTAGGGTTTAGGGTTAGTGTTTAGGGTTTAGGGTTTATAAAACCCTAAAGGAGACGGGGCCCCCCATGAAAGAGATTAAAAGAGGGCCCCAGCGGCTAAGGGCGCCGAGATGTTGCTGCTAGAATTAAAATACAAAAAATGATGAAACTCCTCAGTATAAAAGGGTTTATTAGGGTTTAGGGTTTAGGGTTTAGGGTTTAGGGTTTAGGGTCTCGCGCATGCGGCGAGAGTTTGCTGGCTGGTGTTTAGGGTTTGTGAGTTGGGGGCCTAAAACACACAAATTAAATAAATTAATTATTTGTTTTTATTTAAAAGACAGAAAAAGAGAAATACAAATGCTGCAGCATTAGCTGCCAACGCGCTGCTTCTGGCGGTTGTCGCAGCAGCAGCAGCAGCAGCTGCAGCAGCAACAGCAGCAGTAGCAGCAGCAGCGACAGCAATCAGTGAGGCCAGCAACATCAGCAGCAGCAGCAGCAGCAGCGACAACAGCAACAACAGCAGCAATAACAGCAGCGGCAGCAGCAACAGCAGCAGCAACAGCAGCAGATACTGCATAGCTGAACGGGGGCCCCTGGCAGTGGGGGCCCCCCAGCTTCATCTGTATCCACAAGCAGCAACAGCAGCAGCAGCAGCAGCAACAGCAGCAACAGCAGCAATAGCAGCTGCTGCAGCAGCAAGAAGAGGATTCGAGACAGCAGCGCACAAAGCAGCAGCAGCACGAGCAGCATCAGCAAGGGCAGCAACAGCAGCAGAAGCAGCAGCAACAGCAGCAGCAGCAGCAGCAGCAGCAGGATAGTCAGGAAGATGATGACGCCAGTAAGAGATTCTTTTCGTGTAGAGTTGGAGGGGGGAGGAGAGGAGGCCCCCCTACTTAGACAAAGCAGAGGCCTTTGCCCTGACGTAAGCCTTTGCTGCTGCTGCTGCTGCTGCTGCTGCTGCTGCTACTGCTGATGCTGCGGCGGGTGATTATGCTGCTGCTGGCCCTGCGGTTGATGCTGCTGCTAATGATGCAGCAGCAGCAGCAGCAGCAGCAGCAGAGAATTTCAAGGGCCCTCAGGGGCCTCCATTGCTTTTATACAGCAGCAGCAGCAGCACCACCACCATCAGCAGCAGCATCAGAAGCATCAGCAGCATCAGCATCAGCAGCAGCATCAGCATCAGCATGAGCATCAGCATCAGCAGCAGCAGCAGCAGCAGCAGCAGGAGCAGCAGCAGGAGTATGTTGTTAAGTATTTGAACATTTGTTTGTTTGTTCTTCAGGATGGAAACTGTCTTCAGCGTTTTTTTGCGTTTTTGCTGCGCTGTCTCTGCAACTTCGACACGCTGCATAAAGAGAGGGTTGTTCATTTGTCTGGGCGGTCTTCTCCTAAGCACTTTAGTAGGATGTTATATTATATTATTTATATAATAATATTATAATAATAATAATAATACAATAGTAATAATAATAATAATAATAATATAATTATTTAGTTTAATTAGAGAAAGAGCCGTGCATTTATCTGGGCGTTCGTCTCCTAAACCCTAAACCCTAAACCCTCGCTCTGAAACCCTATTTCCTACATAGCACAAGACAGGAGATTGTCGCACTTTACTTTTATGGTTTATGGTTTAGGGTTTAGGGTTTAGGGTTTAAGGTATTAGGGTTTAGGGTTTAGGGTTTAGGGTTTAGGGTTTAGGGTTTAGGGTTTAGGGTTTAGGGTTCTTTAGGGTTATTAGGGTTTAGGGTTTAGGGTTTAGGGTTTAGGGTTTAGGGTTTAGGGTTTAGGGTTTAGGGTTTGAGGGTTTAGGGTTTAGGGTTTAGGGTTTAGGGTTTAGGGTTTAGGGTTTAGGGTTTAGGGTTTGTGTGCAGCGAGCAATGCCATCAAGAACACCAAATATTCATTCTTTACATTTCTCCCTGTGGTCCTCTTCCAGCAATTCAGGTGCAGCAGCAGCAGCAGCAGCAGCAACAGCAGCAGCAGCAGCAACAGCAGCGGCTGGTCTAGCAGCAGCAGCAGCAGCAGCCGCCGGTCTAGCAGCAACAACAGCAGTGCAATAGCAGCAGATAGAAGCAGCAGCAGTTTGTTTTAGCTTTGCTGAAGGCACACGGGTCTTGCTGCTCGATTATATGTGTTGCTGTTGCTGCTGCTGCTGTTGCTGCTGCTGCTGCTGCTGCAGATTTTTCTTTAATTTGTTTTACCTCCTGGTGGCGTTGGCTCAACTCGTCCCCATCCTGCAGGTGCTGCTGCTGCTGCTGCTGCTTCTGTCGCTGCTGCTGTTGTTGCTGTTTCGGCTGCTGCTTCTGTTGCTGGTGGTGGTGTTGCTCCTGCTGCTGCTGCTTGTGCTTCTGTTGCGGCTTCTGCTTCTGTTGCTGCTCCTGCCTCTGTTGTTGCTGCTGCTTCTGTTGCTGCTGCTGTTTCTGTTGCTGCAGCTGCTGCTGCTTCTGCTGGTGCTGCTTCTGCTTTTGTTGTTTCTGCTGCTTCTGTTGCTGCTCCTGCTCTGTTGCTGGTGCTGCTGCTGGTGCTGCTCCTGCCTCTGTTGCTGCAGCAGCAGCAGCAGCAGCAGCAATACTACGAATTGGGGTGTATGCACAGGTGGGCCCTCTCTTTACATATTTGGCGCCTCTGTCCTTTGTGCTGCTGGCGACCCTTGCTAAGGAGGCATATGATGATATCAAACGGTAAGAATGCAGCAGCAGCAGCAACAGCAGCAGCAGCAACAGCAGCAGCAGCAACAGCAGCAGTAGAAGGAAATGCAGTGGGGGAGCAGCAGGAACCGCAGCAGCAACAGTAACAGGAGAAGCAGCAGCAGGAGCATTAGTGGTAGCAGCAGCAGCAGCAACAGCAGCACAAACAGCAGCAATAGCAGCAGCAGCAGCAGCAACAGCAGCACAAACAGCAGCAATAGCAGCAGCAGCAGCAACAGCAGCACAAACAGCAGCAATAGCAGCAGCAGCAGCAAGAGCAGCACAAACAGCAGCAATAGCAGCAGCAGCAGCAACAGCAGCACAAACAGCAGCAATAGCAGCAGCAGCAGCAATTGCATATGTTGCTGTCTCCTATCTATGACTTTTTTGCTGCGTTTGGTCTTTCTTTCAATTTATAATTTTATTATTTTATTATTATATAATTTTATAACTTTATATTATTATTATTATTATATTATTATTATTATTATAT